TTGGCACAGAAGATTTTTTAAATGATCAAGGACTAAAGAGGCATAAATTAAAAAGCAAGAACCGAGAAATATAGATTGTGATTTCTTCTTATTTGTTGACAGTTTTCTCAAGTTTTTGGTTCTCAAAGAATCCGAAAGAAAATGTGTCCGATCTATCAGTGTGCTTCATTGAGCCGGCAGATCAAGACCAAATGCATCTGGAAAACATCTGAAGTGGAACGTGCCTGTAGTCTTTTCTGTTATGTCATCCTGGAGGCATGTCTGTAATCTGCCTCTCCCTTGGCTGTAACTCAGTTCAGCTGGGTCCAGTGTGCTGAGGCCATTTAAACCTGCTGTTACCATTCTCACTCCTTGCCTCAGGCACACCACATTCTGCTTTGGTTGTTTTATTAACTTTCCCCTGTGCATACGAACACACTTGCACATATACAACGTCATCATTCACTGAGGATTTCATTTGGTTTAAATTGGTCAATAGAGTATTTGAACTTTCATCATCGTTTAGTCTGTTTCGTTGTGATCTTCTGAGCCAGGTCATGACAAATGGGGCCTAGTAAATTTAATTGGTATTATTGAAAATGTTCTTGTGCCTTAGGTAGCAGGCCCAAGTTAGTACTATTTGCTATGTGCACATTTAATTCAGATGGTCCAGCAATGTGCTGTCTTTTGCAGAAGTGTTTTTTGTGTTGCTCTGGTTTCTGCTTTTTGATAGCTACGCAATGTGTTCTTTGGAAGCCTTGGTTTGTGATTTGAAAAGAAGTGATTAAGCAAATAACTCATTTGGCATAGTTCCATACAGTTTTATTGAAAAAGGGGAAGTAAATCTATTCAACATTACAAAAGCATCTGCTTGTGTTGGTACATTCAGGCTGTGTGTATCAGCATGGTTACTGTGACTAAAACACAATTGTTCAAAGTAGGCTTTTCAGAATAATATGGAAACCTTATGATCAAACACTGACATTGACATGTCTGGGTTAGTTTACTGTCAAGGTTAGAAAGTGGGTTGCACTTGAGTCTCCTGCATCTCTGTTGACATTTCGCTTCACTGACAGCTTAGCTACAGACAGGAAGTTCAGAGACGAGGAGTGGGGGTGGGGGATGCTGCGGTTATATTTTGCTCTTATGCATCATTGTTACTCATATTTGTAATTGAAAGCCTGCATCATGCAATAAACCCAAGTAGAACAAACTGTGGTAGAGTGATTAGTTTGGATACAATAGTACATATATATAGAACAATTTATATTATACTCTTAAAACCCCAAATTTGTGAAATGCAAATTGTAGAAATATCCAACACAGAAGTTAGATGAGTTAAACTGACAGCTAGACGACATACTTCCCCTTTGTGGGTATGATTTTTTTTGGGGTTGAGGGCAAACTTTCTGCTGCAGATGCTGTAAAACTTGCAATGCAAATGTAGCAAGATGCACCAGGAAGCTTTTTGTGCTGTGCAACAATTTGATATCATGAAAACTGAGGCATGTGTGACAGCGGTTACGTGCAAATAAAAACTCTGTCCACAACATGCGGTTAGGCTCTGTAAAGTACATATGGAACGCTCTCACTGTTGTTTTGTGCCGCTCATGATTAAATGAGGTCAGTGAAGCTTCAGCTAATAGTAAGTTACAAGGAAAAATACATTTGTATTCAAAACTAGAGTACGTCTGACTTGCAGGTGAAGATACAATCTGTTGACATCTTAAAAATATCACAAATAAATTCTGCAAGTTTTCTATACAGATGAGCCTTTTTCATTTGACATAGTGGTGCCGCTAAAGTCATGCAAAACTGAAAATGCTTCACTTGGCTAATAAGGTTGCATTAAGAATTTTGTTCAAGCTTCAAGATGGACAAGTGTAAGTCACATGCTGGCTTGCAACTTTCATGCCCTGCAAAGGAATGAAC